AGCTTGAGGTATGTTCCCTCTATTCCCACTTTGCTGAGAGTTTTTATCATAAATGTGTGTTGGATTTTATCAACTGCTTTTTCTGTATCTATTGATAGGATCATGTGGTTTTATCCTTCATTTTGTTTATGTGGTGTATTACATTTATTGATTTGTGAATATTTAGTAACTTTGTATTCCTAGGGTAAATCCCACTTGATCATGGTATATGATCTTTTTAAAGTATTGCTGGATACAGTTTGATAATATTTTGTTGAGGATTTTTGCATCTATGTTCATCAGGGATATTGGCCTATAATTTTCTTTCTTTGTAGTGTGTTTATTTGGTTTTGAAATTAGGATAATGCTGGTCTTGCAACATGTGCGTGGGAGTCTTCCCTCCTCTTGAAGTTTTGAAATAGTTTTAGGAGGATCGGTGTTAGTTCTTCTGTGAATTGTTGGTAAAAGTCACTTGTGAAGTCATCCAATCCAGGAATTTTGTTTAGTGGAAGTTTTTTTATTACTGTGTTGATTTTATTAGTTGTAATAGATCTATTCAGACTCTCTAATTCTTCCTAATTCAGTTTTAAAAGATTGTATGTTTATAGGAATTTATCTGTTTTTGTCCAGTGTCCAATTTGTAGGCATATAGTTCTTTCTAATATTTTCTTATAGTTCTTTTTATTTCTTTGCAGTCAGTTGTTACTTCTCCACTTTCATCTTGATTTTATTTACTTGGGTCCCCTTCTCTTTCTTTCTTGATAAGTCTGGTTGAAGGTTTGCCAATCTTGTTTATCTTTTCAAAGAACCAGCTTTTGGTTTCATTGATCTTTGTAATTTTTTTTTTTAGACTCTATTTTCTTTATTTCTGCTCTGATTATCTTTACCTTCCCTCTACTTACTCTAGTCTTTGTTTGCTGTTCTTTTTCTTTTTCAAGTTCTTTTAAGTGTAAAATTAGATTGTTTCTTTAGATAGGATTATAATGCTATGAATTTCCCTCTTAGGACTGCCTTCACTGTTTTCCATAGATTTTTGACTTGCGTTCTCATTTTCATTTGTTTCAAGGTATCTTTTGATTTCTTTCTTGATCTCATTGTTAAACCATTCATTGTTTAATAACATGTCATTTAGCCTCCGTGTCTTTGTGTGTTTTTAAAATTTTTTTCTTATGATAGATTCCTCGTTTCAGACCATAATGGTCAGAGACAATGCTTGATATGATTTGAACGTTCTTAAATTTATTGAGATTTGTTTTGTATTATAATGTGGTCTACCCTAGAAAATATTCCCATGTGCACTTACTTCTGCTTTGGGATGAAATGCTCTGAAAATATCAATTAAATGCATTTGGTCTATTATGTCATTTAAGGCTGCAGTTTCCTTGTCAATTTTTTTTTTTTTAAATGGCCCCGCACAAGTTTTTCTAGGCGGTGCACGGGCCGGGGAGAGCAGGGCAGGCGAGGGAAGAGGGTGGGGAAAGTTGGCTTCCTCCTTGTCAATTTTCTATCTGGAAGATCTATCCACTGATGTCAATGGGGAGTTAAAATCCCCCACTAGGACTGTATTACTTTCAATCCCTTTCAATCAAGACTTGCCTTACATCCTTAGATGTTCTTATGTTGGGTGCATAAATATTACAAGGGTTATATCCTCTTGTTGCATTGCTCCTTTTATCATTTTGTACTATCCTTCTTTGTCTTTTACTATGTTGTTTTGAAATCTACTTTGTTAGATAAATTTATTGCTACCCCAATTACTTTAAATTTCCATTTGAACAAAGTATCTTTTTCCATCCCTTTACTTTAGTTTGTATCTTTTGTTCTGAGGTGTGTCTCCTGTAGAAAGCACATATATGGGTCTTGTTTTCTTATCCATTCTGCTCCCTTGTCTTTTGATTGGAGCATTTAAACCATTTACATTTAAATTGATTATGAACAGGTATGTATTTATTGCCATTTTATTCTTTTAACTATTTCCTCTTTTTTTTTTCCTTCTTCTAAAGCAGGCCCTTTAACATTTCAAGTAATGCTGGTTTGGTGATAACAAACTCCTTTAGCTTTTTGTTGTCTAGGAACCTCTTTATATGTCCTTCAATTTCAATGATAGCCTTGCTGGATAGAGTTGTCTTGGTTATAGGTCCTTGCTTTTCATCACTTTGAATATTTCATGCCAATCCCTTGGGTAATGAAATGTTTCTGTTGAGAAATCAGGTGACAATTCAAATGGGAGCTCCTTTTGTACATAACTAACACTCTTTCCCATACAGCTTTTAAGAATCTCTTTGTCTTTAATCTTTATTATGATGTGTCTTGGTGCCGGTTTCTTTTGTCCATCTTGTTTGGTACTCTCTCTGCCTCCTGGACTTGTATGTCTTTTTAGTTCACCTGGTTATGGAAATTTTCAGTCATCATTTCTTCAAATAGGTCTCAATTACTTGCTCTCTCTCTCTTTCTTCTTGTACCCCTATGATGTGGATGTTGTCACACTTCATGTTGTCCCAAAGGTCCCTTAAGGTATCCTCATTTTTTAAAATTCTTTTCGCTGCTATGATTGGGTATTCTTTTCTACTGTCATCAAATCCTGCTCCTCTGCTTCATCTAACCAACTGTTTATTCCTTCCAGTTTATTCATTTCTCACTGGTCCTTTTTATGATTTCTATGTCCTTTCTCATGCTGTTGAGCATCCTTATAACAATTACTTTGAATTCTGTATCTGATAAATTGTTTGCCTCCATTTCACTTAGCTCTTTTTCTGGAGATTTCTCCTGTTCTTTCATTTGAGATATGTTTCTTTGTCTTGCCATTTTGGCTGCCTCTTAGTGTTTGTTTCTAGTATTAGATTTGCTATGTTTCCCAGTGTTTGTGGGGTGGCCTTATGTAGTAGGTGTACTGTGGGGTCCAGTGGTCCAGTTTCTTTGATCACCTGAGCCAGGCACCTCATGAGTATCCGATGTGTGGGTTATGTGGGCCCTCCTCCTGTAACTGAGTCTTGATTGCTATTGGTCCATTCATGCGTGAGATTGTCCCTCAGCCTGGCTGACTGTGAGTCTCAACCCTGACCACAGCGTGTGAGCTGTTGACCACAAGAACTGGAATTCACCTAACCAGGGTTTTGTGCCTGCCAATCGCCCTTTGGATATGCTTCTTGTAAAGCTTATTGGATCCTGCTCTGTTTTTATCTATGGCTGACCACTGGGCGTACTGGTTTTGGGTCTCTTGGAATGAACTCTGGTGCAAGCCAATGTCAGACACTGCTTGTGACTAGCCCTGGGTAACTTGTTTGGAACAGTCTCGATGTGGTTTCCTCTGTAAAACCTTGGTTACAAGGCTTCTCTTCAGCTACTTGTCAGTCATCCAAGATGACTGTTCTATAATTTAATTGTAATTCCAGTTTGGTCCTGAAAGATGAGTGTAGCTTCCACCTACTCTGTAGCCATCTTGGATCCTTTTATTGGCACATAATCTTTTATGATTAGTTGCTACTTGTATTTGTTTGCTTTATCACAAACAAGATTCATTTCACATCGTTAGCTGGAAGTCTCAGTCTATGCTTTTAATTTAATATGTACATATTAAATAAGTCAAGCAATTAAAGTTAAGCAATTTATGAGTTCAGCAATAAAAAATTGATGGCCAGAATATTAAATAATTGTCAAGTGAAACCCAGAACATCAGTGAATGTTTATAACAAAACAATTAGCTCTTCTGTGAGACTGTACAGAATTTTACACCCAAAATAACCCCTAGTTTTTTAACCTACAGGTAACCTAAATATTCATTTTACTTTAGATCCCATTTATTCTTGATTGAATATAATTTAAAGTTTAAATTTTAATCTATACTAGAGGCTCGGTGCATGCAATTTGTGAACTTCGGGGGGTGTCTCTCAGCCTGGCCTGTGCCCTCTCGCAGTCCAGGAGCCTTGGGGGATGTCTGACTGACGGCTCCCTGTGGGCATCAGGCCTAAGCAGTCAGTCGGACAGCCTTAGCACTGCTACAGAGGCGGGAGAGGCTGCTCTCACTAGCCTCTGAGCCTGGCTTTTGGCTAACCGGTGCTCCCCTTGTGGGAGTACACTGACCACCAAGGGCAGCTCCTGCATTGTCTGCCCCCTGGTGGTCACTGCGTATCATAGTGACCGGTCATTCTACCGTTCTTTTTGTGGGCTGCGAGGCTGTGGTGGGTACAGAGGCGGGTCTCGGCCCATCCTCCACGCCCCTGTCCGGACCTTCCTGCCGCGGCCCCTGGGCCACTGTCTGCCAGCAGCCCCGCTCCTGCCACTCCCACACACTGACAGTACTGGCCCCACTCTCACACGCTGATGGCGTGGAGCGATTGGGGCTGGCGCCAGCAGCGTGTGCGATCGGCGGCTGCTGCCCCGATTGCCTGCAGGAGCAGGGCGAAGTGGAGAAGCCCTCAGGGGCGAATGGGGCTGGCGGCCAGCAATCGCATCCACTAATGACGCCTAGCAATTGGGACCGGCACCGGGCGCCAGCAGCGGGTGTAAGCGACAGCTCTGGCGCCGACTGTGGGTGTGAGCGGGGTCGGTGCTAGCAGAGGGTGTGAGCAGCGGCTGCGGGTCCTGATCGCCCCTCAGATGCAGGGGGAGGTGGAGAAGCCCTGAGGGGCTATCGGGCTGGCAGCCGCCACTCGCACCCGCTGATGGCGCCGAGTGATTGGGGCCGGCGCTGGGCACCAGCAGCGGGTGCAAGCGGGGCTGGCACTGGCAGCAGGTGTGAGTGCCCAGCAGGACCATGGCGTGTGGGAGCAAAGAATTTTCAGTAACCACCAGAGGCTTGCCCCAATGACAGCGATCGGCGCCCCGCCTTGGTCTGGCACCCCCGCTCACCTGCACCACCATCCTGCCGTGGCCGTCGCCCACCATGTTCCGCGCACTGCCGCCTGCTACTGATGCCCACCATATTCCACGCGCGCCCCCTCGTGATAAGCGCACGTCATAGCAACCGGCTGTTTGGTTTATTTGCATATTAGGGTTTTATATATAGAGATTCTTATACTCACAGGCCAAGGCTGTAGATCATTAAGTCCCTTTTCTAATTTCTCAACATCTGGAAACTTTGTGGCTCCATCAGCATCTGCCATAAGGATCTTTTCTCCTCGAGAACTGAATATACCCTGTATTTAAAAATTTCAATTAAAACAAAGTTGCTTAAAATTAAGGTTAAATTCAATTACAAATCAGTCTGTTTAGCTTTACTTAAAATATCTAAGAGTGAAATAACAGGTATGAAATGACAGGAGGCCAAAGTTCACTTAAAACAAATTAGATTGATTGGCTCTTCCTGCATGTATGTAATGCCTATTTCACAGTTTTAAAAACTTTGTGAGGTCATACAACTAATACCTTAGAAGCTAAGAATACTTTTAGATAAATCAAAGATATTGAATTAATAAGATTAAAAATGTGAAATGTCATCATATATAATATGTATGCATTGTTTATATATCACGGCGCTTAGCACAGCAAATTAAGAACATATTTATGGCCCGTCTGGTGTGGCTCAGTGGTTGAGCATCTACCTATGAACCAGGAGGTCACAGTTTAATTCCCCATCAGGGCACATGCCCAAGTTGTGGCTCGATCCTCAGCAGGGCATGCAGAAGGCAGTCAATCAATGATTCTTTCTCATCACTGATGTTTCTATCTCTCTTTCTCCCTCTCCCTTCCTCTCTGAAAGCAATAATAATAAAAAAAAGAACATATTTATGAAGACTGAACAAATATATACAAATTTTCTGTGAAATGCATAGCAATTTTTTATTCTTTATTTTGAATCTAAAGTATTTTAAATAAATTGTTGAATAAAGAAATATGGAATATCACTAAAATTTAAGAAATGTGGATATATCCACATATATTCTGTTATATTAGGCAGCTGACACATAGCAAAATCATACACTCAATTTTGAATTGGTTATTTGTGCAAAATATGGCACAGAAATAAACTATAT